TACTAAATTTTTAAGTTACCGGCCATTCAAAACGTCTACTAGCCAAAAAAAAAAAGACAGAAATACACCAACAGTTTGAGGCCGTCTACACTGGGCGTGACAAAGCGACCATTGCAAATAATTTTGTCAGTACTAGGGGTGTGCGATATTGACAAAAAATAATATCTCAATATCTTCTGTGATTTTTATCAATAAAGATAATTAGACGATATTTTGCTGAGTGTGTTATTGTGCTGATATCTTAAGGACTACCGTGGACAGCTGACTTCTAAAGTTTTTGATATTCTTCATATTCTGTGTGCGGGCCCGCATTTGGCGGGTTGGCGGGTGTTAATTTCAAACCCTGCTTACGCAGTATTGCAGTTAGTTGGTCTAAAACAGTGATTGTGCATTAACGGATGTCAACCGTGTCAGTACGCAAATGATCGGTCTAAACTTACCTACCCAGCACATTTTTTATTTTGGTCGCGCATGCACACCACATGCGTGTTTTTGACGTGCTTTGACGGGTTGTTGACGTGACATGACATTTTCGCTGTCCCACAAGATAAAAATGAATATAATTAATATTGTCGTTATTTAAAATGCAGTAAATGGTTAAACATTTCTTTGTCCTACATGGACCTGTTGTTATAAAAGCTGCAGTGTTATTCGATTTTTTTTTAAATTATTGAGCCAAATCGCAAAATTGTCCTATGGTGTGACTGTCTCGAGCATGGTTCAATAAATGACAACTTTTATAAATTAAAAAGAAAAGCATAAAAATGTTAATAAATACCTCCGGCATGATTGTACAAGTGTCTATTTTAGTAAATGGCAATCATTTTTTTTCATCCATACATTTCTGAAAATGTAGGAACTTGATACATTTTGTCTCTGAAAACAATGTCCTCTGGTGTGACACCATATCCTGATTTTCCAGAGAAAACTTAATTAGTGGAAGGACCCCATTCATGGTCGTGTTACTGAAGGCCCCTGTGAAGCCCATGACGTGCAAATGGTACATTTTTGTCTCAGAATTGTTCAAATATTTAACTTTTTTGGAACCACTACAAAAGTGTTACGTTTTGTTGTCCTTTGGTGTGACTCCCCTACATTATATTTTTTTTATTAAAAACTGCATGTTAAACTACATAATCATGGAAAATTATGCAAATGTGTCTTGCTAACCGCTAATGACAGGTTAGCTTGGAATAGCAAGGTCATTAATTGACACCAAAGACTGAAACGTCCTTTGGTGTGACAGAAAATGTCCACCAGTGTGACGCCTCACACCAGAGGACAAGGTCTCTTTAAAAAGCATTTTAAGTAATTAAAAAATATTGTATATTATAAATATTGTTTAACTCCTTTTTAATCTTTTATGATCATTTTCAGTGTTCTTAAATGCAATAATTACATTAATTAAACTATTTTCTGATGTTTTTACAGAAAACTTGTACTGTTATAAAGTGTCATGAAAATAAGTATAAAATGTGATACTTTGTTTTTGAGACGGAAAGAATTGAAGGAGAGAAATTAGTGGAAGAAAGAGCACACGGAAATATAGACAGAAAATTAACAGGGACCCACCAGAATGGAGGAGATACTAAGAGAGCGATGCAGAAAGTAAATACAATAAAAATGTGTCTTAAAAAGAGTAGCCATAGAGTTTTAAAAAAAAATCATTCACATCTTAATGAATATAGTTTGAATACCAATCATATTTAGCTGTGCCGCACATGCAGCAGGGGGGCTAGAAGAGTTTCAGTAACATACTGATTGACTAAGAGACTGAATTTTGTTAATGACATTTAAAAAAAATTTTTAAAACATGTTGATATTGTTTGTATCAAAAATTTAACTTTCTTTCTCCTTTGGCATGTTCAAAATTAAATAGAAGTAAATAATTTAATAACTAACATTTCTGTCCTATGGTAAAACACACATAAAAGAACCACAGATTTGTTTTTATCTCAAGATACTCAAAAACAGTTGAGTATTGCAATAGGGGAGATACAAATATCACTCAACTTAAAATGGTATAATTTTCAGCAGTTTTGAATGAATGACAGCAAAGTTTGTCTTGATATTGTCCAACAAGTTATGGGGAAAAAATGATGTTAATTATAATTTCATATTAAATAAATGGTGCTATATGAAAATAAGTGTCTAACAATGAAGATAAATCTCTCTCATGCTATTTATGCATTATTAAGAGGGTTTTTTTTTTCCTTAATTTTTGCTATGTCACACCAATGCAATGCAAATACTGTAAAGCGATGTAGAATCGGTGGGTGGGGCTAAACAAGCAGTGATGTAAAATTGGTGAGCGGGGCTAAACAGGCAGTGATGTAGAATCGGTGGGCGGGGCTAAACAGGCAGTGCTGTAGAAGCAGGCGTTGATGATGTTCTTCTGTGGAGGCGGTGATTATCCACACTATTACATCGTAGAGTAGAACATTCTACAAGCTGTCGTTTTGACAGTCTGCCTTCAATATCAGCTGTTTTTAGAGTAACAACAAAGTTTTGAGTTCTGAAACTTACAGGATGTTTTTAAAGTACAATGACCTCTTATATGTCAAAAGATCAAGGGAATTTTGCAACTGGAGCGCTAAATGAGTTAATTCATCAGAGGATCAGATCCGCTGCTATTTTGGCTCATTTTGAGCCGGAGTGACTGTCAGGCGTCCGAAAGTTAGTTTTGATTGAGTAACTTGTAGATCTGTGCTGCTTGAGCCGCGAACTGTTTCAGATGATTCAGTCTAATTCAGTGAACTGGTTCAACTAGTTTACCAAAAAGAATCGGTTCAAAAGAATGATTCGTTCACGAACTGGACATCACTCTGGACCATTTGCCTGAGGTTCTGGATTGCAGGCAATAATGTTGTAAATAATGTTCAGTTTCTTGCACAGACTAATTGTTTCACTTCATAAGACCCCAATATATCGTCAGGAGCCACAGGTATTAATTTTGTGTTCCTTGATATGATTTTTCTTTTTTTTTTCAAAAATGGCCAGCTGCTGATCAACATTTTATGAATGGTTTCAACTAAAAATTGTTGTTACTTTTCTATTGAAGAAAATGTCTTGAGGGTGAATAATTAACAGCAAATTTTGGGGAAATATCCCTTTAACACATGCAAAGTCGTACTGCATTGAAACCAATCACATTCAGATCTGTTTTCATTCTGGTGTGCAATGCACACATTTCACAGTCCAATCAGATGGATAAAGTCAAGTCCCAGATGTTTTTTTGTTTGAAAAGCCACTTCACTTATTAGAAATGTGTCACAAATCATAGTAAAGTCAGTCACAACTTTGCAACTTAGCCTGCTTTTAAACAATATGTGAAAACCGCTATACAAGAAAGAGTTTTGCGTCTCCAGGTCACATACAGTATAAAGAGGTCCAGTATAAAGATGCTGACTGTCTCAATGTCTCTCTCATCACAGTTCAGAGACCCCTGCTGTCACCCAGCCTGTGCCATCGGCTACAATGAATGCCAAATCGGCCCTCAACAAGGCGATCTTTATTCCCAACGATGAGAGGCTGCTGGCAGCCGTGCAGGTGAAGAGGAGAACGAAGAAAAAGATCCCGTTTTTAGCTACCGGAGGACCTGGTGACTACACCACATTCATTTGCTTATCAGGTAACGTCTTACTGCACCACATCCCTCATTAGTGCTGTTTCACCATCACTGCTGCTCTTGTTAAGGGTCAGTGATTTGATCAAACTCCCAGCACTAACTAACTTCTCCAACACCTTTGAGCTGCAGGCATGAACCATTTCTCAAATCATGTTTATTTATAATTGGTACTTGATACTTGAATTTAGGGTTGCATGGGGATTTTAGTATAATTGAGATACTTTTTTTTTTATTAATATTTTGACGTTTTTGTATTTACATTTTCTGTTATTATTTTAGTTCTAGTTTTAGTCATTTTGTTGTCTTTTATTATTATTATTTTTTAAATAGTTGTATATAGTTTTTCATTTTAATTATGCAGCTTTAGTTATTTAGTACATCAGGTTGAACTAAATGAAAATTAGAAATATTGCCTTAGCAACTGGACAGTGTTTTTATGTATTTTATTTGATCTAAATTTCTTAAGCATCAACTCAAGTATTTTAAGTATCAAGTAAAAAATTTGTGCTTGTTTGTAGGGCTGCACAATTTGGACAAAATTTGTATGATCATATATTTAATTTGATTATAAATGATGATGATGATTTTTATTAAATCTAAAAATTACTAAATAAAAACAAAATAAGTAATTTACTCTTGTAGTAATTCACTGTAAAATAAAACATTTAGTATTTAAAATATAATATTTATTGTATACAATATAAGAAAAATAGTAAATCATAAGAAATACAAAATAATAATAATAATAATAATAATTTTTGACATTGCAACTGGAAAAATTACAAAACTAATATTTAATTTCTTAATTCTTAATTTCTTTATTTTAATTTTTTCATATGTTGATTAGGGCTTCTCATTGCAATTTTGGGAAGATGGTTGGTTCAGGTTGCGTTTCCAAATGCATATTATCAGAAGTTTTCTTTAGTAGGCGGTTCTTGTCTAGAATGAGCTGCTAAGTGGACCAGACTTTATGGCTATAGTCAGAAGTGTGGTTCTGCGAGACTTCAGAAGTATTTATACTGTCTGCGATCTGCCCGCTTGTGATTGATAACACCTGTGTTCCTGAACTCTCAATGATCATCATGAGGAAATCACTGCTCTCCAAAAACTATTACTACGATGAGTGTGAGTCAAGTGGAGGCGTTTCCTCCCTGCCGGTGCCAACACACAGTCTCCTTCCAACTGTGAATCATGGTGGAGGGAATAGATGTTGTTGGTGTGCTGAGCACCTCAGGGCCTCGACTGCTCGCCGTCACTGCGGACTAATGAATTCCAAACTCTGCTGCAGAAAGTGTGTGTGTTTCTGTGAACTCCGATTCAAAGGAAGTTGAGTAAGTCCTGAGCTCACTACCAATGAAATGTAGCACTGTTATCGCTGAAGGCAAGGAGACAAGAGATATCAGTATCATTAAAGAGGTGGTTGACTGTTTTTTTTTTTTTTTCTAGGCTTGATTGTTTATGGGGTGGAGTCTAACATGTGTTAATGCTTCGTTTTTAAAAAACGCATTATAACGCATTTCCACATAATTTACCTTTATTCTGCATTGCTCTGTCCCTTCTCTGATGAACGCTCTGATGATTTCCTGGTTTTATGAAGCCCCTCCCTCAGAAATACGCAATGGGCTCAGATTGGTTAGCTGGCCCAGTGTGTCGTGATTGGCTAAACCGCCAGTGCACGTCTAAATGCCCCGCCCCTCACCTCAGAATGCGTTGTATTGTAAACAATGGCATCAATATTGCTTATCAATTTGAGCCCGATTGAGACCCAGAGAATATTAGTGAAGAGGATCGCAGAACCTGTGCAAACATGGCTCTTAAAGTGCCCCTATTATGGATATATATTTTTTAAAATAACCTTTCATGCAGTGTGTAACACAGCTCTAAGTGAATGAAAACATCCCACAAAGTTTTAAATCTGAAAGTGCACCGTGTATAAAGTTATTGTCTCTCAAAAGAAAGAGTCGACTCTGAATCATTGAAACGAGTCGTTTTTAAAACGAATCCCAAGCCGTTTCATGTTGAAGGCAACATGAAACATTAGCATATTGCCCGCCCACTTGTTGGTCTTTTCGTGTTGGTCTGAATGAAAATGCAAATTCATTCTTTGCCACTAGGTGCCGCTTTTGGAGCGGTAAAAATAGCGGTTTCCCCGGTAACGCTGTACACAAAGCAGCACAGCGCTCACAAACGCTGCTTTATCAGGCATCACAGGCAAGACGAAATGAAAATGAGACCAATCACCGCAGATTAGCGTCACGCAAAGGAGGGGTTTGGAAAAATGAATCGTTGAGCGAATCGTTTGGGAGTCGTTGAGCAAATAAGGTAAAAATAAATGCATATTATAAGACAATGAAAGTGGTTTTTGACCTTGCATGCATGTCAACCTGTTGTTGGGGACTCCCAAAACCAAAATATGAACCTTTCATTACACTTAATAGGGGCACTTTAACCCTTTGATGCACAACCGCGGGACCCGACCGGATTTTTTGCGCCGAGGGATTAAATTCCCGAATAAAACGTGGTAGCGGTTGGTAACTCTGGTGTAATTTGAACGGGAGCGGGCGATCTAACAATATCCCGTTCCCGACATCCATTTAGAACATATCGGCGCTTTATTCTTATTGACCGCCGGTACAGCCTGCACTCGGTCTGTTATGCTACACTGTTCTCTCTCTCTCTGCGACACCTTTTCCCTATTGTGTTGTCAATGTTAAACGAATTGTATCCTGACAAGAAGAATAAAAATAAGAAATAAAATTTTTGTACAACATTTTTATTTTGTCTGACACTTTTTTTCCTACTGTGTTGCATACAATATTAAACAAATTTTGTGTCTTAAGATAATTCATATAAATTCAAGTCAAAGTCAATAAATTCAAGACTCTTGACAAGACGAATAAAATAACATACAATTTTGTGCAGACTACATTTTTATTTGTCAGCCTATCTCTCTTTCTTTCAGTAGCGGAAATGTTAATGTGAGATTCTGAAAACGAGATCTAAATTTAACAGGAACGGTCGGGTCGGGAATAAAATTATTCTAAGCGGACAGCGGGTGAACAAAGAGTGAATATATAGCGGGAGCGGGTGGGTGCAGAATATAACCTTGCGGGAGCGGGACTAAAAGAACAGTCCCGCGCAGACCTCTACATCATGGGTCTAAAGTGACCAGACAGAGATCTTTGCAAGAAATTAATTTCATCATTCAGTATTCCAGGAATTCCTCAATTAACTTGTTTTTGATCATCACAAATCATTATTTTCATTTTTCCTTTCTTACTTTTTGAATAAAAATCGTTTTTGTATCACTACGCTTCTAATGCACAACATGGGTCTAAAATGACCCGTACTCATTTCCTATGTTAATTCAGTTATGGATGAGTGTTTCTTTGCTGAATCGCTGAAAGAAATGTTTCTTATCATTTATTATTCTAGGTATTCATTATATATATTGTTTTTAATTTGCACAAATCATTATGTTTGTTTTTCCTTTTTTCCTTTATAAACAAACAGTTTTTGTATTTCTACATCACGTTTACACACATGGGTCAAAAATGACCCATATAGAAACCTTTGATATTTGCTAATTTTTTTCAAGTAGGACCGTTTTTATTGCCACAACTCAACAAGCTGTGTTTGTATATTTGATGCATTTAAGTCTTAATTTAGAATTGTTTCATCACAGAAAATGTTTGATATATTTTGATATTATATTTCTCTTTCTCACTAGTAATACATTTCAAGATCAAGGCAACCTTAGCGTTCAAATATTATGTCCAGTTACCTTGATCTTGAAATGTATTACTAGTGAGAAAGAGAAACATGTCCAATACTATTAGCTAGCTTGTTGTTGACATATTCTAGCTAGCTAACTTTAGCTAGGTCAACAAAATAAAAGTTGAAATAGAAGGTTATTGTATACAAATATATATTGTCGCTGGCAAGACAGAAACCTTATTTCTGCATATTTAATTTTTTTTTTTTTTTTTTCATAAATCAATACTATTTGCGTTTATGTCTGTCAGTGTTCCTGAAAAGTAACAGCTCTGCACATACAAGATTTCTGTCTGACAGTGACGATATATAATAAGTACATACTTGATCAACTCTTTGATGTGCATTTAAAAATATTCTTGTCCTTTTATTTTCTTTATCCAGAGTGTTAGTATGGCTGGTCCTAGTCATTCAAGATTAATGGCTGAAATGTTTGTAGAGATGCTGCATGATGAACAGGATAAGGAAGATGAGGCATTTTTTAGTCTTGATTCAGAGTCTGAAATATCTGATGCCTTAGGGCCTTAGTGCCTGAGGGTCAATCTGGAGTTGTGGGTGTAAATTCAGCTCTCCTAAAGAAGACTCATTTAATGACATTAAAACTTGTCTGATGAGGAAACTCAGACCCAGTCTAACAGATTGAGTAAGTTGAACTACAGATACACTACTGTTCAATTTCAGTGTCATCGGTTATCAGTGATACGTGTATGTTATGTGTGACAAAGTGATAAATGTGTTGACCTAAATAACTGCTAAAATGATTATTTTAACAAAATGTTGTCTTTATTCTTTTGTTTTATCACGCTTGCATAGATGGGTCCTTTTTGACCCATGTGTGCAAACTCGACATAGTAACACAAAACCTAAGAAAAAATAAAATAATAATTGATGTTCATTGAAAACAATATATTTAGAATATTCATAGATCATGGAATATTAAATGCTGAAATAAACTGATTCAAAAGATGAAACAAAAATTGCCCAGCCATGCATGAAATAACGGGAAATGTATATGGGTCATTTTAGACCCATGTTGTGCATTAGAAGGGGTTTGCATAGCTTGTGCATCAAAAGGTTAATGGTATGTTTTTTGTTGTTGTTATCTCATACTTTTAGATATGCTGTTATTTGTAAATACTACTGCTTATGTTAGCTTCTAATATACGGTTTTATCGTGATTAAAACTTTAATACAGCACGGCAACTGCTCGCACATCCATGTTTAATGCT